ACACACACACACACACACACACACACACACATAAACAGGGGCTGTAGAGTTTCCCTTAAGCTATCTTCTAGACAAAAAACCAAGAGAACTGGAAACCAGGAGACCTCCAGGAACACAAATCTTTAAATTTTTCTATCATTTTCTTTAACATTGAGACTTCCCAGGAAATAATTCATGGATCTTGAAAATCGGGCACATTTAAAGGATTAATAACTGTTTAATGCAGCTCGATTGAATTTAAAGGGTTAGAGTGGAGCATTATTCTCTTTTTCTTTGTGTTGTACTACAATCATGCAAACAAACACGCTGATACAGATATGTAAAGATCATTGGCTGATATATTGATCAAGATCTAATCTAGATAGTCCACTGGCCTCTGGTAGTTGTTACGATATGTTTTCAAACTGACCTTTGCAGAGAACAGAAGCTCACATGACCTCTTACATACACGTCCACTAATTTACAGTATAAATTTTTCATTGTAAGAACCTGTGCGGCTCACTACTCTCAGAGCCACTCTTTAAGATTAAGATTCCTCTTTATGGTCCCACACACAGCATGCAACATGCAAACATGGGGAAATTTGACCTCTGTATTTATCCCATCCGTGTGAACGGAGCACACAGGGAACACAATCCACTCGGAACAGTAGGCAGCCATGAAGGCGCCCGGGGAGCTATTGGGGGGTTCGGTACCTTGCTCAAGGGCACCTCGGGAAGTGCCCAGGAGGTGAACTGGCACCTCTTCAACTTCCTTCCATGCTGGACTTGAACCGGCCACCCTCCGGTTCCCAAGCCAAGTCGCTATGGACTGAGCTACTGCCTCCACAGCTGCAGGTTTGCTGCAGATTTTTGATCCCGACAAAAATGTTATTTCTTTGCATTCCTGAGGACTGACTCTGACCTTGTCAAACTTAATGAGGTTTTGGTGACAGCTCTGCAAGAGCACGACAGTTTCATCAAACACAACGACTCAGACCTCCAAACTTTTTCAGGAAGCTAAATTGGGACAGCTGCCCCCTCATTGCACTGGGTACCAGGGCGGACGACCACAGAATGACAGGAGTCTTCATTACAGAGTTTGTTTTATTAAATCACACACACTCGGGACAGAAATCTACGTTATACTCATCCTATAATAAATCAGAAGAATCATTTCTACTGTTTGCCGTCTCTTCATGCATCAGGTCTCTGACTGTGTAGGTGGTGCATTTAAATCAATGACTCACCTGATGGAGATGAATGTTTAAGTTTAATTAATTTTTCAGTTTATTGTTCAATCATTTCCAGTATTCTCACTCCTGCTGTTTACAGGAGTTATACTTCTTTGTCAGACATTTATGTGACACTATAAATAAACTCTCTCCTGCGCTGGAGGAAGGTTGTTTAAGCCTCTCTGAGTCTATAGTCTCTGTCTACCACAGTGACAGGTACAGTACGTGTTGGTTTTGGATCTACGGTGTACAGTGTGTACTAATACATCTCTTGGCACCGAGTCCTGAATGTCCTGAGAGCTGCAGGAAGCTCAGAAACAATCCGTCAGACTAACATGTCACACTGAGACTCTAAATCTCACCATAGAAATCCTGTTGGAGAAGCACTGCAGACTCTGCACAGAACACATTTCAGTGTGTGTTTGCAAGGACTCAGGAGGGATAGTCATTTTGTGAATGTGTCTGCGGTGTATTGTGGGTAAAGAGACACAGTTTTCCGGGGAACTGACTTTTCGTGGCTTTACAGCAAAGGAGCCAGACAACAGCATAATACGTTCCTGCATTTGTGTAGAAGCAGGACATTCACATAAATACTCTGTGCCTGTGCAATAACCGCACCAGAAGCTTCACAGGAAACAGACACAACACATGTCTCGACTTCAATTCTAACTGGTGTTGGCAAGAAAACAAATAGAACTTTAAGAGATTTAATGTTCCAGTGTGACTTTGACCTTTGATCACCAAATTTGAATCAGTTCATCCATGATTCTAATTAAATTTTTTTACCAAATTTGAAAGGATTCTGTCCAGACGTTCTTAGTAAACCACATTTACAAGACAAAAAAAGGATTCCCTGGAGTTGTTCCCAAAGAATCATGTTCACAAGACAATAAGTCTGTTCTGTGAGGTGACAGCGATCTTGAGCTTTGACCAAATTCTAATTAGTCCATCCTTGAGTCCAACTGAACCTTTGGACCGAATCTGATTAAATTCCCCCAGGGTGTTAAGATATTGTGTTCAGAAGAATGGGACATACGGGACGACCTGAAAACATAATGCCTCTGGCAACTGGCTGTCGTCAGCACAGAGGCGTAAGAAGACAAAGGAAAGAAAGAGAATGTTCATCTTTCTAAAGAACGAAGAGAGAACAAATGTGGAGGATGTCCACTGCACAAAACTCTACCTGAGATCCACATTCATATGATTCTACATGATCCTAAAATCACACTTCTATCACTTGAGGGATTATTAGAAAAGCGGGACACCAGAGATGTTATTATGAACCTTTCAAAATGAAAGTTGTTAAATCCCAATGGGCTTGTACATGAATTTATATAACAATGTACCATCGACAACATACTTTCATATCATTTCCCTGATACTGCTGAACTATACTCCAAGTGAGATTGATCTCTTGGTGAACGGCAAAGCTTGTTTCTGTTTTTTTTTTTTTCTGCTGCTCAGTCACTCTTTACAGCATTTCACCATCTTAGTTTTCACTGTCATATATTCAAACTCAATTCACACATCTAAACATGTGCAGTGCTATTCTGGATGTTCGGTTGAAAACTGTTTTGTTTCTGTGAAGATGTTGTTGTGCAGCTTTTCTAAATTCTAAACAGATGTCTGTAAACCTCTGTGTGTTCAGGGGGTGTTTGCATCTCCCAGTCAGTCAAGATTCCCCGGGAGCCCAAGCAGGGAGAGTTCGACAAGGTCATCCGGCGACTCAGAGAAAACCCAAACGCAAGAGTCGTCATAATCTTTGCCAACGAAGATGATATCAGGTAAAAAGTCTGGTAATAGCTACACAACACTGCTTTGAAGATTAGAAAAACATGGCTGAGGACACGGCCGCTTCAGTCCAGCTCTGCTAAACCACTGTGGAATGAATTGCGGAAATAAATAAATAAAAAATCAAAGTGGAGCTGGCCGGGGTTGTTGACCTTATCCCCGGCAACATCTGTTTCTTCACCTTTGCAGGCGGCTACTTCATGCAGCTAAAAAGGCGAACCAGACAGGTCATTTCATCTGGGTGGGCTCGGACAGCTGGGGCTCAAAGATCTCTCCGGTTGTGCACCAGGAGGAGATGGCAGAGGGAGCCGTCACCATCCTGCCCAAGCGCCAGTCCATCAAAGGTACAGAGACGGACATTGTGCACACATTGAAAAAAGCATCACACATTAGAACGTGTGTAAACACTGTTTATAAAGATGGATCTATCTCCACGTCCTCCGGCTATCCAGAAATTAAGCTAAGTTGAGTCTGGGCTGCAGCGATCAGGGGGTGGAGTCACAGTGACTGATACATGCTCTCCACCAATCACAAATGAGCTGTAGTGACTAATTAAAACCAAATTCAACACAATAATTAACACTAACATCAGTGTTGTAAGAACTAGCTAAAATGACAAAAATTGTGTTCTTTGACTTTTCAATTTGGTCCATCTCCCATCCACTAACATGGAGGAGGCAGAGTTTCAGAGCCATACTGCAGCCAATCACTAGACAGAGGTAGAGAAGCTTTGGGGAGCTGTCATGTCATCCATCTTTATATCCAGTCCATCAGTGAAACATTATGTTAATGTGAGACAGAGCTCTGCCTGTTTAACTGTTATCGTCTGATCATCAGACGTCAAAACAAAATATTTAAGAATCAGTCAAACGCAGCAGCAAAGTCAACTGATCTATTCAGTCCACAACTAATTAACAGTGTATAAAAACAACAGAGCTCTGACTCACAGGCTGAAGCAACACTGCTGTTTACCCTCGCACTGACTGCATCAATGACAATGAACCCTGTCTAGGGTTTGATCGCTACTTCATCAGCCGAACGCTGGAGAACAACAGACGGAATATCTGGTTTGCTGAGTTCTGGGAGAACAACTTCAGCTGCAAGCTCAGCCGTCACGCCGTGAAGAAAGGGTCCGGGCTCAAAAAGTGCACAAGTAAGATATTTTCCTGTTCGCGGGGAAGAAAGCTGTTTAATGTTCTTCTTGTTCAGACTTTTAACCAACCTGGAAACTCTCTTTTGATGTCTTAAGGGAGGTTGACTTATTTGGCTCACGGTGAATGTGTTTTGACAGCACCGCCAGCCTATTAAAAGTGGAACAGCTACACATTCAATATTCAAAATCGCACCTCATCTCGCAGCTCATTTGTGTGCAGCACTATATTTCTGCTGAATCTAGTGCGTTTACACACGTGGCTGTAACCAGTGAATGTCCTGACTGGTCTGGTTGATGCTTCAGGCTCATTACTGTGTGTTGAGGTGAGAAGAAAAATCACGGCACATTAAGATTTAAACACCAATTACGCAGCTCAACATTTCTTTAAAAGAGGAGGATTAGTTTTGTTATCAGGGGGTTTCCTCACAGAAACCTTCATTATCTTAATTTCCAGTTTATTTACTTGAAAGGAATCCGTCACTGTTCGCTGCACTAATAGTGATCAGTAGACTAGAGGGTGCTTTATCTTGCAGATGAGTGCATGTCATGATCGAAGACATGCTTATTACATGAGTGGCGTAATTACATCCATTGTGCATCATTAAACACATTTTCTTGGGGAGACATAAAAATACAGCGTGCCTGCGCTGATCAGTTGCTTCATTTGGCCGAAGATATATTTGCATTTTAGTTAAAAGTTCACGTGGACAGGCAGATATGTCATGAGGAGAACGATATACTTTGCATATTACTGTAGTATTCCACTCGAGGCCACACTACATTACACGCCATCGCACGAGTATGTGAGGCCCTTAAATAAACATGAAAACTTTGAGTGTCTGCCTCTAGTGCTTGCGTGTATTGTATCTTGCAGAATATTAATCTGTGAGGATGTGCACAGCTCGTGCCCCAAAACAGGTGCAGAATATCAAGTATATCTCTGATTTATACTATGTTTACATCAGGTAATATTCAACATGCGATGATGAAGGTTCATGTCAAGACGTTTCCAGATTGAGAACGGTCGTTCTGGATGATTCAACCTTTCTTTTGTCTGCTCACCTGATGTAATGTTGGACTTTCATCCTCGAGAGTAATTTCAAGTGTCTTGAAGTCAGACTGAATTACGTGTCCTGAGGCAAAAACCACACAAACTCCAGGGAATCCAAGTCTATCAGAGTAATGATCTCTCTTTCTGGGAGACGGCCGCACTAACCACTGAGCCACAACGCTGCCCTGGAGCCACATGTGTGTACGCACAATCTACCTGTAGTACTTCGCACACAGACAGTGGTATACACACACAAACATGTAGTGGCTTTGTGGGAGGAAAATGTACTTTACATGACAATAGTTATTCATACTTCAGTGTGAATTGCAGCGTTGTTACTGAATAAAAGCTGTGATGAGGCTACAGGTCGGTTCACCCACTGTATATTCTGTTACTGTGCCTTCATGAGCGACCAGGTTTTATTTGTTTGCACTGGACAATATTTATCTACTGACTTTTATATGAGAATTTACAGTTTATCATTCACATAAATGAACTGGATGAAATATTAGAAACCCATTTCACTATCAAGCACAGATCGACAGCACCACAGACTACAGCCTCCAGAGTGACAATAAAGTTAATTGAATATCATCTCTAAAACAGTCAAAGCAAAAACCGAGCATCATAACCTTCACAGCTTATAGTTTAGGATTTATAGCCCAGCTGTTGCATTAGACTGTTTTAGTCATAAAGAGGTGAACCTAGTAAAGTTACAACTGAGCGCATTGTCTTATTTGCTCGTTTCTTAATCAGTCACAAAATATATTCTGTATTCCCAATGCTAAATAAAAGTCAAATCAAATCAGCTGATACATCGATCGACTGATAAATCCACATTTCTCTAATCCGTATCCCTACAAACAAATCAAATAAAAATATTGCCACTGCCACAAAGAGCATCATAAATCTGAAATACACGTATTGATATATATTAACGTGTTGACATCAATTTACAGATAATCGTGTGATCATCACTTTTATACAAGTGCTGTGACAATGTTCAGTAATCAGAGGTGTTTTTATTTAGAGCCTCGTGATTCAACATGAACATTTTTAGGCCAAACGGTGAAGAAATCAAGCCGAACTGCTGAAATCGCACAGACTCACGAAACACATGAGAGATAGACCACAACTTCTACTCCAGAGGTGGGCTGCAAAACCAACAGCTGGTGTTGTGTTCACGGACAGTAAATCCAAGCACTCTGAGGAGATGACACGCGGGGTTATGTGTGGGGTAACAACCCTCAGGTGGAGAAGATAATACTGATACATGAGTTAGTCTTGAGATGGGGAGGAGTGACCCTGGAGCACCTGCCAGCGGGGATTTAGGCGAGAACATTAGCGAGCTCCTCGGGGAGCAGCGGTGACGGTTGAGGAGTGTGCCGACTGATCAACTCCCTGGATAACGCTTGTAGCACGTGTTCATAATTACACAAGTGGAGGAAGAACAGTGTTTGTTAAAAACCTTACCTCACTGACAACACACTGTGAAAACACCCCACTCTAAAGCTCTTCATTTAAACCCTCAGTTATAAAATCATTATCAGAAAAAGGTATTACTTTTTTAGGTTTCTCTATTACACATGTTGCTTTATTAATGTGTTTCAATTTACAGCTGGAAATATTTAATGTTGAGAATATCCCCTATTTTACTTTAGTTGCTGTTGAGTTTTAAATTGTTTATTTAGCTGGAGAAGTTTTGCCTGGAGCAATAAAGAAACAATTAAACCTTTAGTTTATTTAAATTGACCTAAATGGTAGACGAGTGGTTTTCACTGGACAGGACGGGGATGAATCATTGTAATCTGTTGAATTAGTAACTAAAGAATTTCAGACAAATGCACATAATAACTTTCCTCTGAGATGTAATGGAGCAGAAGTGTAAAGTTATGTCTGACTGAAGTACGTAAATTACAAGAACCTTCAATTTGTATATAACTGAAATGTCAAATATGGAAGAATCTGGTTGACAGCATTTAAATTTGGCACAAAGACGATTCATATTTCTGCTGCAGTTCATACAAATGCTTGTAGTCTCGAAGGCTTTTATACATCTGCCCCTGGAGTCATACAAAGGAAGGTAACTGGAGCATTAACAAGTATCTCTATCAGACTGTAAGATGTCAGGAAGGAAACGCAGAAAAAATGTATTTGAAGTTAAATAGCCAAATCCTCGGTAGACGTGTTAGCATCACTGAATGTAACTGCAGATGAAATAAAAAGGCCAATAAAAGAAGATGTTAATCTTTAAAACAGGTCGGGAATAAACGTTATTTAATTTTTAAAATGGCAAAACACACAAGATCTGGGAGCAGACATTTAAGTGCTGAACTTCAGTACGGGCTTAGCTTCGCGGGTCGCAGCGTTTGTCTCAGGTTAAATCGTGACACTGGTCGCGCCTCTCAGCCGGTGAAGAGCCCTGCAGAGAAAGAACCACATGGGGGCTTGCAGCAGAATTATCTGTGTCCTGAGTGGGTTTGGCTGCTTGACGTGATCATGGGATAAGGAGGGCATGAGTGACTGCGGGGAAAAGAGACTCGTCTTTCATGTGTGAAAGAAGGAGATGTAAAACTGATATTGATTAATGTTGAAGGGGTACGGCAGAGCGGGAGCCATCACATATAGGCTTTTTATTTCTCCTGTGTATTAATGATGTGGGGGAGCAGCAGGAAAATGCAGCAATGCAGATAAAGCAAGCCTCTGCTCTGCTTCTTCAACCAAGCATCTATTTCTTTTAACTGCTTATCCTGCTCAGGGTCCTTGGTGGCTGGAGCCTTTCCCAGCATGCAGTGGGTGAAGGGGGGGAATATTTTGGTCAGGTTACACTGCTGCAGGGGATATTCTTTTGTTTGATGGAGTTAAATCCAAAATAAATTTTAAAAAACGGCTGAACGATTTTAAAGAAAATTTGAAGAATTATGGGACCGTAAAATGAATTGTGATAATTTTCTCCAAAGGAAATCATAGACCTGAGTTCTACATAGTTCTAAACCAAGTTTATTCCAAACATAATGTGTGATTAATGGATGTAGTGGATTTAAATGTGGCTCACACGGGAACTGACAGCTTTGTCTTTTTAATTTCTTTTTCTAAATATTGCAGCTAATGTTGTGATGAATTGATTCGTCCATTGTGAACAAAATTTGAGTCCAGCTTTTAAAAAGTAACAGTTAGCTGCTGTTCTGTTTTATGCCTTTATTGTCTTATAACCAATATAAATACACCAATATATAACAAGTTATAAAATATGGATTTTACAAGGTCAATAGGTTCTTGAGCTGTGATCGTAGTTTAAGCATGTACTGTAAATATAGACACAAAAAGACAAATAAATTAAAACACGCATGGTAGTGGTGTCACATTAACTTAACAGATTGTCCAACTGCTTTGGCAGGAAAATGTCCTGTGGCCAATCACGAAAAAAAGGGTCAAAGATCACGAGCCCACACACTGTCACAAAATGTCTTGTGTGACACCTCAGAGCGGAAGACACCAACACTTTGCTTCTGCTTTGCTTAATTTGAATGGATTTCTCTGAAGCTAAACGCCAGCTTGGAAAACGTGTGTGAGGAAGCCAAAAAGCCGAGGAGAAGAGAGAGAGAGAGAGAGAGAGGGACGGAGGGGGTTGGGGGGTGGTCTTACAGAGAGGAGACAATACGAAGTTGGTGTGGGTGGCCTGCCAAGCATGCAAGAGAAATATCACTCTCACACTCACTCTGGCTCACAGGATTCCCTGTGGCACAAGCATGCCGGCCCAACTGTGACAATCTCTGGCCAATCAAGGCCCCGTTGGCCCTTAATTACCGAGCCGTAACCTCTGCAATAATTCATGCATTTCAAAAGCTCACGAGATAATCAGGGACATTAAACCGCCTCTGGCCTGCAGAGAAGAGCTGGAGATGTAACAAATGAAAGATGGCTGACAGACGGAGACCTCTGCCGATTC